AGATATGGTGGTTGGGGGGGGGGGGGGGGGGGGGGGAGCAGCATTAATTCCAGTGAAATAAATTTAGAAAAAACAATATGCAACATTGAGGACTGATTTTTTTGAAGTCTAGATTAAAGTGTTTTACACACACACTCACACACTCTCCCACACGTAAAAAAAAAAAATTAAACGCACCCAGTTGAAAAATGGAACATTTCTTTTGGGAGGAGGGGAGGTTTTAGTTTGAGTCAAGAAAGGTATTTATAGTTAACCAACAACATTTTTTTCAGCTTGCATGCATAGATGAATTACTTCATATCTGGGGTCTAGCAGTGCAGTAAACTGCATCCTGTTTGCATCAGGTATACAGTTTGCTTTTATAAATCATGAAAATGGCGTCCTTTGGTAGATATATAAGCTTCCATAACTTAAATATAGTATAAGTGTCAAACAATGAAATAACTGTATTTCCAGGAATATCTGGCAAAACTAAGTCTGAAAACTTGGCAACAGTGTATATTTAAAAAGTTTAATTTGTAAACATTATAGATTAATACTTTAAAAGCTATTAAACTGTTGCCACCTAAGCACAGATTTTAAAGGCAAAACCCAGTGTAAATAGCTATTTACAGATTTAAGAACATACTGTTCAATATTAACCAAGTGCGTAACTAGAATGAATAGTTCTTAATTTCCTATAAAATATTTCAAATTTCAAAGAATTATTTGTGGTTTGGTATACATACTATTAGGCATTTCAAAATTACACAGCAGAATCCTGTAACAGCATAACTAAAAGAACAGCTATCACCTAAAGGCAAATTAGCTCGTATTAATAAGGCGCTGTGAAGCTGTAACGTGCTGTACAAATGCTCAGTTTTCCTTAATATTTTCAAAAATATTTTTGGAGCATCACTTGAAATTCACTTAATGCTACAACTCCAGAAACAAAAGCCACCTGAAATCAGCACTTTAAAAAAAGGTTGGGTTTTATTGTTTGTTTGTTTTTTAAGTTTTTAAGTATCTATTTGAGGTCTGTAGAAGCTCCTGCAGAAGTGGAAAATGTAGCTTGCTGCTTTCTTAATCGATTTTTTCTTATCAAGTAAGAACTCATCTGGCCGAGTTCCTTATTGTGGAATAGGCCACATCATGAACCAACAGCCAGCTAATTCTGTCCTTCTTATTTCAATTATTTAATGCATAACGACACAACTAGATTTACCAGAAATTGAATGTAAAACTAGAAACATGGACATTACTTAAGTATCGACACCAAGGCATAATGCATCACTTCAGACTTTCTTATAAATTATGACTTAAAACCAACAAAAAAACTTTTTAAACCAGTACCTTCTCAACATTGAAAAGTTACTGAATTGCACCCGTAGCCTATGGCATTATTTGAATAAAAATAAAATCTAGAATCTCAGACTTAGGCAAACACTACAACAAAATGCAAGAAACATGCCAAAATTCAGAGTAAAGCAGATTAGTAAGGAGTTACTAATTCCCTCCTTTCATTCATTAGGCTGTTTGATTTTGCTACTAGTTTCACCAGCAGCATGTACTCCTCTGTTATGCACCATAGGGTAGGGAAAAGCTGCACTGCCACAAGTATAACTTAGATTTGCAAGCCGTGATAGAGCTTTAATGCTACCTGGAGGTCTGCCTGGGCTGACTTTGTATCCTGCTGCTTTAGTTGTACCCAAGGGTCTGCCTGGACTTGTCTTAAATCCAGCTGCTTTGGTGGTCCCCAGGGGTCGACCTGTGCTGGTTCGGTACCCTGCTGATTTTGTGGTCCCTGATGGCCTTCCACGTTTACCAGATCGGTTGAGGTTTTTCTTTTTCTTTAGTTCATCTTTTGTCTCTATATTCCTGCCACTTGTGGTCTGCAAGTGCGATTCATTCAACGCATCTTGTCTCTGGCATGCAATTGGTTTGTGGCTGACTGCGTGGCTGTATTTACTTTGCTGTGTGGCATACAAGTCAAACTGATCGGCAGATCTCACATTGTCTTCGTTAAGGCAAGAACTCTTGCCGGTCCCACAGAAAGCTGTATTACTGCTGGCAACAGGGTGCATCATTTTCTACCAAAAATAAGAGAGACAAATACGTATCAATACATAATAATACTGCAGCATTCCACAAGTGAGAATCTTTCAAAAGCTACCTCTATTTCTTAAAATTAGTCTGAACTACTTTGTCTATTTTTAATAAACAGTATTGATGTCAGTAAATTACTTTTTTATATTAGTTTTATTAAGCTTTCGCTTGAGGTTTTGCACTGTAACCTTTACACATAGTTAAAAATGACAATTAAAACCATGTATTATTCAGATAGGTATAATTGGGGAAGAAGTATGTTACAGAACTAAACAAGAGCATTTAAGCAACCAAATATACAATATACACTCACCCACCATAGTTTCAAAACCTTTCTAACTGAATCTCATGTAAATTCTAGCCATCTAGTTGTTAAGATTAACCCATCGCTTGTGAGTCAAGGAAAAATATGGTTATCACTCTCTTGATTTAGTAGATACAGGCTCCTGAAGATTTTTTTTTCGTTTAACTGCAGCAAATTAATAAAGCACTGATCAGTTTTGTCATTTCTTGTCACAATTAATGTGACAGGAAGAAACAGGTTATGCATTCAGCAAAGACAATGGTGCCATAGTTGGGAAAGCAGACGTACGGAATGAATCTATTACAAAGTACAAGATACTAGACTGCAGAAAACCCACTGCTGTCCTAGTTAAAAGAGCAGGTGCAAGTTGCTGGTAATGCCAACTCTGAGGTAACAACTTTGGGAAAAACAACACAACTCCTGTTACAGACGTGCACGCTGTCACACATCTCCAAATATTCTGGAAAACAAACGTGGTCCGTCAAGGTCATCAACTGTTTTATATAGCCTGCTCTTTTCGTTAGACAAAAACAACTTGAGCTGTGCTCTGTTTACAGAGGTTTACTTGTTTAAACAAGAATCAAAACCCTATCTTCAGGATGGCAGAAGGGTGACTCTCACCTGCATGTTACTGTAGGCTAAGCCCTGTTCCAATGGACAAACTGATGTCCAGCTGCTAGAAATCATGTACGGCCACCATCATAATTACGAACAACTATTTCTAAGTAAACTGGTTATGCTTGTATCTATCATATCAAATCCCTGCAGCATATGTACTGGGGCAGAATCACAACAACTAACAATATTACTAGTATTCTGAAACGTTTTTAGGATTAATGCTTCTAAATACCAACTGCACAGATACTGCCTCAGATTTCTTAAGAGTGGCAATACCATAAGAAGGCAGCAAGGCACACAAGGAGCAACATGATCTTTTCATCCATTCAATTATACTGTTTCTACAACTTAAATAAGCTGTAAATACTCAGTTTAAGATAGTAATATTTAACCATGCTGAAGACAAGATTAAGCCAATCAATACCTGGCACATCAGAGTGCTTCTGCGCCCTACAGTCATGCTTAGGACACCAAATATTTCTTCCTGTGGTAAATTTCTCTAGTAGATAAGGTCTGGAAGATTTATTGTATTTTCCCTGCAGTAGCTCTGGAATATCTCCTACAGCAACCCAATTTAAACTCTACCATTGATTACTGAATTTATTTGGCAGTTATGAATGTCTCCTCCCAGCCAGAGAGAAAGCGTACAGCAGAGACAGTCTGTTTACCCAGGAGTAAATCCCCGTGCCCTTTTCTTCTGATTACAATGGATACATTCCCAGAGTAACACCCAATTTACAATTTACCTTGGCTCATCAAATGCGCATTACAGTGTATGCATTACTCTTGTGCAAATACTCAAATATGGTTTTATGTCAAATAGTGAAATTATGATAGCAATATCGTTTAAATATTTAAATATTCTAGCAGAGATTATCTGAGCGCTACAAGTCTGGTCTGCTGAAGGGGGTACGGTGCAACAAATGTGAAACCACTGTTATTGCAGGTGTTGACTAGCAAATGAAACAACTAAGAATAATTAGCAAGTCTGCACTTCAGCAAAGAACAAGTAAGCTACAGGTCAAGAGACCAGACAGACTTTTCTGTGCAGCAATAAAAAGGAAGCTTAAGGTTTTCTACAATTAGCAGTCAAAAAAAAAAGTTACCTTCCTTTAACCCCACTAGAATAGGGCCCACAATATCACAAAAAATACCTGAGATTTTTCATGATACGTAATTGCCAACATAAGGGTTCTGATACTGTACTTCTGCTGCTGAGAGAGTAAGCCCAGCGGCTCTGAAAGGCTATTCATCTGTTTGTTGATACACTAGAGGACACTTGGAATGGTTAGCAGCATTCTTGTCTCAGTACTCACTGAGGAACACTGGCTTCACCCCAAAAAGCCGCTCCAAGCTCAACTGCCACAAAGAAGGATCAGTTCAGCTGCCCAGTATCCAAAGAACACACCAGAGCAGGGAGAAGGCACTGAATAAAGTGAGGGCCCCTGGTATTTCTCAGGAGATCGACCACCACTCAGACTTGTTCCTGTCTATGTTACACTCCTATTCTCTGCTTTTTCTCCTCATTACAGTCAGGGGGGGTTTCCTACATCCTTCCTGAGAACTATCGCAGGTACTCCTAGACAGTGAATATATCCTGCTGTAACTGCCAAACGTTGGAGCTTCATCACCATATGCATGTGTTTTGTGTCTACTGTAATATCCCTGAGAGCTCTTGACAAACACTAACTTTACATACAAAACCTGGCTGATGCTAGTTTACCTTCCATCTGGCAACAGCCAGTATCACTGTAATTGATGAAAGAAGAAAGACATACAAATCAGTAACTGTTTAAAATTTCTTACAAGAGGAAGCTTAAAAAAAAACCCCACAATGTTGGTGGAAGACAGCCAATGGGATTTTTTTTAATGCTTCCCCCCCACACCGTTTTTCATCAAACCATGAAAATTTCAAGGAGTAGCCAAGGTTCGTATTGTGTTTTCTGATTTAAGACTTTTTTTGAAAAGTTTTAAAAAGGAAATCTGTAATCGAGCTTAATTACCCTAACATGGACATCTCCAGCATAATTTTACTTCATTCACATTACAGCAGGGAATAAAAGAATGTAGTGAGTCTATCTGTAGAGTGGAAACAGGTTTCTTGGCAGGGAGATATACAGCATAAATGAGAACTGGTATAAAATGCAAAGCTACACCAATTTAAAAATCACACTGTAGCTAAACTGTGGAGCCAAACACATACAACTTTGTGTGCGAGCATTCTTAAATAAAACTGGCCAGAAAAGTTTTCAGTGAAATTGAACTTACTTGTTTTAAACCTGTAAGCAGACATGTAAAAGAAATTTGCAACAGTTTACTTAAATCAAGTTTTTAAACTGATTCAACTGACTAGTTGAATGTTTCTATGTAAACAAATAGTTAAGATGAGGCATTGTAGTAACAAAATTTAGTCATATTTCAAAAAGATTTTTACTGGAAAGTGGCTGTAAAGGATTTTCTGTATGGATCCTTTTCTATCTGGTAATTTATTTCTATACAAATGCTGGGGAAAGGAGGACACAACTGGATAAGCTAGCTTTGGGAAAAGAGAGGCAGCATTAGAGCTTCCCATGCAACGAAGCACAGAAGCCCCACAGCTGCTAGAAATAAAGAAAGAAACAGGACCATCCATCCAGGACCCACAAAGCTTTGCTGTGGGGGGATTTCTGGGCATTGTAACAACCCCTCCTTTTAAAGTACAGCTGCACTGCCACTCCTGCAAAGTTAACCTGCTTTAGCACCAGCGTGGTGAGTCTGAAGTTTTGTTTTGCTCAGATGACAGCCAGGCTACTGATCGGTCAATACACAACGTATGAGGCTGCTGTTAGGATTTTTTTGTATTTCAGAGTCAAGCTTGATATTGTTTGCTTTATTCTGCTGGGAGATGAAACAGTGTGCTGGTTTTGGCTGGGATAGAGTTAATTTTATTCATAGTAGCTAGTATGGGGCTATGTTTTGGATTTGTGCTGAAAACAGTGTTGATAATAGAGATGTTTTCATTATTGCTAAGCAGTGCTTACACAGAGTCAAGACCTTTTCTGCTTCTCATCCCACCCCACCAGCCAGCAGGCTGGGGGTGCACAAGAAGTTGGCAGGGGACACAGCCAGGACAGCTGACCCCAACTGACCCAAGGGATATTCCAGACCATATGACATCATACTCAGCATATAAAGCCGGAGGAAGAAGAAGGGGGGGACGTTTGGAGCGATGGCATTTGTCTTCCCAAGTCACTGTTAGGCGTGATGGAGCCCTGCTTTCCTGGAGATGGCTGAACACCTGCCTGCTCATGGGCAGTGGGGAATGAATTCCTTGTCTTGCTTTGCTTGCATGCACAGCTTTTGCTTTACCTGTTAAACTGTCTTTATCTCAACCCACGAGTTTTCTCACGTTTACTCTTCTGCTTCTCTCCCCCCTCCCACCGGTGGGGGGAGTGAGCGAGCGGCTGTGTGGGGCTTAGTTACCAGCTGGGGTTAAAACACGACAAACAGAAACCACATTATAGGCAATACAGACACAGCAAGAAACTTATGAAATTTCACCTAATTCCACTGATATTACAGGTTTTGGACAGACAGAGAGTCCGTCCTTGTATCCCCAAATACAGGTTAACATACTGCACAGCTCTAGCTTTTAACTGCTAAGGCTTCTGTTACCGGTATGGGCCGTCCCTCTCTAGGCTTGAAACTATGCAGAAAATCCCCATTCGTGTCTTGTTCACTACACAAAATTTTTAAGATCAAAGCTACTCACATCACATTACATAAGAACACCCTCTTGGATTGTGACATGACGCTGTCTTTAGCTTTCAAACATCACGCCCTTTGCTTTCTTCATGGGCAGAATTTAGCTGCCAGCATAGACAAGATGAAAACTTTCACGAGCAAAGAAAGTACACAAGCTCCCAGAACAGGCACTTGCTCATTACCTATTGTATACTGAGTACTGGACCTGCGATCCATTATCTGCATTAGCAGAATAATCAGTTCCAATATAAGAAGCAGGCAACTGCTCTGGACTCACCCACCCCAGCCTGCTTTCTGTAACTGCAGCCTGGTTAGCACCAGAACAGTCCTGACTCAG